GAATGTTCAAGTTCTTACTAGATATAGGGTAGGCGGATATATATAAGAGGGGACAATGTGACGCGGGAAGAGATAGATAGTGAGTAATTGAACTGCAGTCACAGAGTATTGTTGAAGTTAACGTTCGTTCGTTACAGTGTTGTTTTAGCGCGAGTATTGAGATTAAGTGTATCGCAGAGTTATATTCGGGAAGAATAAACCAGTTTTATTAAGCAAAGACTTGTGTCGTTAAAGTTTCGTTGGAACGAAGTTACGGAAAAATCAATTAACAAACGGAGACGTAACAGTATATATAATAAATCCGTCACAAAGCAAATGCGCACGCAAATACACTAGCATATATATACATATATTTCTACCAAAAGTGTAGCATAGCTTTCGTTTTTCAGTAAAACTTAAACTACAAGTATATGATTTTCCAGTTTTTTATCTTGTATCATTCACGTTATTTTGCTTTCATCTAATTATATTGTATTATTTTCATGGAAACTGGTGAAACCCAGACAGAGATTTGGAAATATTTTAACTTCTGTAAAAAAAATCTGAGTTCCTGGAATTGGCACGAAAAGTCCTATTGAAGACTTATTAATCCTGAAATCTCGGGATAAATCCTAGAGAACGTAAACACTGATCTACTCTAGCGTAAGTCGCGTTTTCATATCGCGCAAATGATTACCTGAACACTGAAGAAAGTTGGAAACACTAAGTTACGCGCTCATAACGCGACGCATCAAACTGCGTGTAGCCAATATTAATACAAATGTCTTGATAGAAATGAATAAAAACCCTATAACCCGAGCGCATTTGAAAGGTGGACCTTTCTTCTTTAGGGGCAAACTGAAAAAAAAGGTCCAACTTTCGAAAGCACTCGGGTTATAGGGTTTTTATTAATTTCTATCAAAACTTCTTGAACCTACGTGTTTTTCTAACGTCATTACTACAAATGTATAATTCAAAATAAACAAACGAAGCATACAACAATAACAACAAAGCACTCATCACCACGAGTGCTGAATTC